TTCTTAGTTAGGGATGTGAGATGCAGAGGCTACATAAAAAGATATTAATAAATGAAGAAATACAGGGTGACAGACCAGACGAGGAGAATTAAACACAATTCTTGATTTATGAGTCTGTATCAAACATGATGCAGATACATTTCCTGGTGGTGGCAGTAATGGCCAAGAACAGGGTGTAGGCTCGGAGAATGGCCATGGATTTACGAGTGCCCAAGCAAAGGAAGGGTGTAATATAATGACATGGACAATGACATTGCAAAATTTAAGTCATCGACAATGGAAACCAAAATCAAAGACTAATTAACCAATGTATTGTGTGTGAACGTGGCTCGACTTTTAATTCAAACAAAGAATGAAAACAAAGGAAAAAGACTGAGTTTGGATTCGTAATAGAAAAAGAGAAAATGTGTAGAGGATATTGACAAAGACATTATAGGATTACAGCAGGCGGGAAAGAAATGTTTACAGGCACTTAAAGAACAGATTAGGTAGAACATGATATGTTTGTAATAAAGGCTTTGCATCTATGATTAGAGAGAATGCAACGAGGGAAAGTAAATAATGCTAGGATCAAGACGGGTAATTTGGTATCAGACTTCCGCCTTCTCAAATATCTGCAAGTTATATGCAAACCGTTGACAGGTATAACTAGAAAGATTTGCGAAAGACCTTGATGAAGTTGAACTATCATGATCTGACTAAAACAAATTAAAAAAAGGGAAACAGGACAATTGAGAGAACAAAAACCAAATATCATATGTTGAAAAATTAAAACCGTTTGTGTTATAAACTACAAGAATGCATACTCATGGACTGATTTTGTTATTATAAAGGAGAAAAGAGAAAAGGAAATTCAATGGCCCAGTGGATAGTGGCGTCGAGATAAAACATTAGAAGCTAACATCAAGCGAGGAATTTCAAGGAGACGCCCGTTCACTATTGTAATAGCTTTTATCCCCATGTGTTTGATAATGAATGGAACAAAGCCAGTATCTTAACTTGGCAGAAACAAATTCTCTACAAAGAATTGGAATGATTGACAGGAGTATAATTTTAAATGTGTTATGGTAGAGATGAAAATAATATACACTGATGTTGAGTAATGATGGCAAAGTCAAAAAGGACAGAAAGAAAGGCCTTTTTTTTTTTTTTTTTTTTTTTTTAACTTGGAATAGTGCACATGCAATCAGCGTGCGACTTCATAATGTATAGAACATGGACCATTCAATGGATCGAAAGTGGAAAGAGACAAACTGAAAAAAGAGAAAAAACCAAACGTACAAATAAGGAAGTTGTTGACCGCCACGATAGGAAGAAGAAAAAAAGCATCTATCTACGAGATAATGCAGCTAGACTGTTGGTAAACAAAGTCGGAGGGTCACAAAATGTTAGCAAGGAAATTGTTAAAATCTTTGAGAAGCAAGTTTGGGAAATTACTTGAGAAATTTATTCATGTTGAAGGATACACAGGTATAAATTTACTGATGAGGATTATGAATTAAGGCACAGAAGATTTACGGGTGCGATGAATGAAATATAATGAAAGTCGTTATATCCGAAGGAAAATAAGGCACACCCCAGTTATGAAACCAAACTTTGATTATGAAACAGAGGGAAATAATCCAGCAAACAAAAAAAAAAAAAAAAAATGTGCCTAGTTAGGGTTAATGACGAGGACTGTGAGAGAGAAACAGCCAGTGAGTAGTTAACGTAACTATCCTGTATAACATTAGCCACCACGTTGTCTTTGTATATCTCAATCCATATCTGTCTGTCTGGCTATCTATTTGTCTACCTGATTGTCTGTCTGTCCATCTATAGTACATATGTATATAAAGGAAACAAATTTGCATGATATAGGACTAGAAAAAATACTGCTGTTGCTTTACTGTTACATCTTCTCCTCCTTTTACTTCTACAACTACTGCTAATAATGATAATGATAATAATGAGATAATAGAATACTACGACTACCGCTACTGCTACTGAAACAATAATGATGATAATGATGATGGAAATGACATAATATTTATGACAAAGAGGATGATAATATCAATGATAATAATAATGATGATGTCGATTATGATAATAACAGTAACATAAAAAATAAAGACAAGAGGAACAGCAACACAAAAATGCCAGTAGCGAAAACAATAACAACAATGACAAGGGTAAAAATGTGTAAAAGAGGAAGTAGAGAAAGAACACGAAAAAAGGAAAATTATTTCATCACGAACGTCGTGACTTGAGCCTCTGTTTTTGCGTAGTACTTGTTAAAAAGTACACGATATTTCGTACTCTCGTCCTTATGCGACCTTGGCATATGGGTCAGGGGGTGTTATTACGATAGAGAGTTATGAATGATGATTAAATGTAATTAGTATGAAATTGTAAGGGCTGAGAGAATGGCTTTAGGGAGGAGGAGGAGGAGGAGACGTCAACGAGGTGAAGAGAAAGGACGTAGAAAGAAAAGTGAGACATAGAAAATGAATAAAGAGGGAAGAGTAATTCGGTGAGAATAAAACACTGGGTTAATGAAAAAAAACAAGCACAAATAAAAGTATAAGTAGATAATGGGCTAATGTAAAAACAAACACAAATAAAAGTATAAGTAGATAAAGAAATATAAAGAAATCAAATGAAGGCGAAAAGAAAATAATTCAAGAATGTAAAAAGAAAACGGACAACACAGGATGGTAAACAAAGAAAACGAAAGAGAGACCAAGAGAACAGACGATGAAAATTTTCTAACAAAAAAAAAAGGAAGATAAAAACATAATAACGGAATAAAGAAAGTAATGAAAACGTCAAAAGGAAGTACAAAAGGCACAGCGATGTCAAGGAGAGGTCAAGAGTAAGAGGAACCAAGTTGCATAATGACAAGGAAGGGTCGTGCTGTGTAAAAATACATCACCCATTACCTACTCAGCGATCGCTAGGAAAAAAAGGGGGAAAAAAAGAAAAAGAAAAAGAAACAGAAAACCACCCTCGTTTCTCGCTGTATCCTCTCCCACGTCGTCATTTGTTCATCATGCGTGTATGATATATATATATATAATATATATATATATATATATATATATATATATATATATATATATATCTTTCTATTTTCTCTCTCTCCCTCTCGCCCCCTCTCTCTTAATCTCTCTGTTCTATGTCTGTCTGTTTCTCTCTCTCTCTCTCTCTCTCTCTCCTCTCTTCTCTCTCTTCCTCTCTTCTCTCTCTCTTCTCTTCCTCTCGTCTCTCTCTCTCTCTCTCTCTCTCTCTTCTTCTTCTCCTCTCTCTCTCTCTCTCTCTCTCTCTCTCTCTCTCTCTCTCTCTCTCTCTCTCTCTCTCTCTCTCTCTCTCTCTCTCTCTCTCTCTCTCTCTCTTCTCTCCTCTCTCTCTCTCTACCCCTCTCTCTCTCTTTAACCCCCCCCTCTCTCTCTCTTTAATCCCCCTATCTCTCTCTCTCTCTACCTCTCTCTCTCTCTTCATTTCCCTCCCCCTCACTCCCTTTCCCCTCTCTCTCCTTTTATTTCCCTCTCCCCTCTCCCTCCCTTCTCTCTCTCTCTCTCTCTCTTTCATTTCCCTCCCCCCTCTCACTCCCTTTCTCTTTCTCTCTCTCACTCTCTCTCCTTCTCTCTCCTCTCTCCCTCTCATCTCCCTCCCTCACGTTTCATTTCCCTGCCCTCTCTCTCTCCCTCTACCTTCCTCTCTCCTCTCTTTCATTCCCTCCCCCCCTCTCCCTCTCTCTCTCTGTCCTTCCCTCTCCTTCTTTTCGTCTTTCCTTCCATCCTCCCTCCTCATCCCCTCCCCTCTCTCTGTCTCTGTCTCACCTCTCTCTCCTCCCTCCCTGTCTCTCTTCTTCTCTCTCTCTCTCTCTCTGTCCTCCTCTCCTCCTTCCATCCCTCCTCATCCCCCTTCTCTCTCTTCTCTCTCTTCTCTCTCTCTCTCTCTCTCTCTCTCTCTCTCTCTCTCTCTCTCTCTTCTCTTTCTCCTCTCTCTCTCTCTCTCTCTCTCTCTCTCTCCTCTCTCTCCTCTCTCTCTCTTCTCTCTCTCTCTCTCTCTCTCTCTCTCTCTCTCTCTCTCTCTCTCTCTCTCTCTCTCTCTCTCTCTCTCTCTCTCTCTCTCTTCTCTCTCTCTGTCTCTGTCTCTCTCTCTAATGTATGTACAGTTCTATATACTGTGAGTGTATATTTTTCATCGCAGAGAAAGCGAATAGCGTTGAACAAGGAACTCTCAGGTACTCTCACCGTCATACAGCTGTGCGGATGGACCTTACAGGAGCGTCCGAGAGAAGTGACGTACGAGTCAATTCTCATTAATTATTCCTCATTTGATTCCCCTCCCCCCCTTCCTCCTCCTCTATTCCTGGCCCCACCCTCCCTTTACATCACGTCATTTTGCGTTGGTGTTGTAGTAAAGTGCTTGAGGTTAGATCCATCATCGTTTATCCATAATGTGATGTGTATTTTTTGGATATTGTTAACATGCATTGGATATGTATCAACATTCGTCACGATTATTATATTATTTAAAAGGAAGTAAAATATTCCTGGGGAGCAAATGACAAAGCTACAGGCAAAACAGGATACAGTTGTTTCTATTTTTTACGGTAAGCAGTAAAAAAATCAACTACCCCTAACACTAACGAACTATGGACAATAAAGTAGTCAGTAAATGCATCCTTATTCACACAAGGCGCCTGCGTACAAGTATAACGTTTTCTACTAGAAATCTTTCCACTCGGGTCAGCGTCGATCTCACTTCACACACGCAACCGAAGTAAGATCGACCTACGTTCTACAGTGATGTTCCTAAAATCGGTGATATTTACTGCGAGCTTTGTTATTGACTGTTCACCGGAAGAGAACATCATGGTTAAAAAACTTACGATTCGCTAGTCAACAAGCGGCGGTGTTCCCTCGGCGACCCTCGTGGTGTGGGCGGAAGGGCGGGCGGAGCGAGAGTGAGGTGTCCGCGGGCGGGGAACTGTGACCGCAGTTCAGGGGAGGGAGAAGCTGCGGGAGAGACGCGCCGGGGGAGGGGTTACCGGAGGCCAAGCACAGATGCGCGGTGACGTGGTGGATGCCCGATAACGAGAGGAGATCATGGCGAAGAATAGAAGACAGAAACGCAACGATTGAAGAGAGAATGGGTACAGGAGGCGATAGACTAGTAACAGACGTATTGGAACAGCATGCACTCTGTACCGGAAAGCGGTCGCTGCACCGGTGGGATGTGGGTTAGTGGCGCGGCCCCCACCAGACAGCTGAGTCTGCCTGTTATCGCCCGTCGGAGAGGAGGGGACAACAGAGGTCCGCGTCTGGCCCTTAGGCAATCCAAATGGCAAATATTGCGTATCACAGACAAGTGCACAAAGATTTTTTTTTTTATTTTTATTATTTATTTTTTGCGCTTCGATCCTGCAGCTCAGTCTCCGTCTGAACCAGAGATCCATATTTGTTAGCAGAATACGTCATGCAAGTTCACACTTAACTACCGTTATGGAACACCATATGAATGTTATATACACAGAGAGTACGGTACCTTCATAACCGAACGGTGCAGAATTCCTCAGTACAAGTCTTGACCTTAGTCTGGATATTCATCACCGCATGACCCATTCATACCGTATCGATTACCGGGCCAACGATTTGCCATAATTCAGTAAAATCTGGACAAACTACTCGACAATCGACATACTACATCCCCACAGTTTCCTCAAAAGAACTGAGGAACAACGTACTGAACAACCTCGTCCGTTTTATAACCAATTCTCTCTTGGTATTCTCCGCTTGGCCTAGGTACCGTTGGGAGATGCATGGCAGGTCAACAGAATAACTTAGGCAATTGCTTTGATCTTCATGAGAAAAAACAACGAAAATACAGTTCTTTCCTAACGGACTTTGATCGCCTACGGAAAGTTTTACGAAACTGATATAATTCGTTCTTACGATAAAACTAACCGACGGTGGAGAATCAGAAAATTGTAGACCTTAACTTTTATTATCAATATAAAATTAGAATTAAATCATATGCACCAAGCGTCCCTTTTACGAGAAACACGAGAGCGTGGTAGTTTTCCTATCGACATATTATTAAACCTTTTATAAGAATACCCCCTTTGATGATAAAATTGTTCTTGTCTGGAATAGTTTCGTACCTGGAAAACGATTACACGAAATTATCGTAATCTCCCTTGGATGAATTACCTTCACAGTTTTACTGTACGTAATATTTAGATAAATTTATATATATCCTATTAGATATCAAAACCTTTATCTTATATATATAATATCTCTTTATCATTGCAAGACTAATGGTAAATTAGTTATGAATCTAATTTACTAATGGTAAATTAGGAAATCATAGTCATAAGAATATATTCACATAAATTAAATCCTTCAAATTTCATTATAATATTTGAACATCATAAGGAAGGGATATTTGGACCGATAAGAGTTGAAATAAATAAAAGAAAAACAAGAAAAATCAAGGACTTTAAATCAACAGCAACCACATCTAAACAAAACACAAACTTACCCAAATAAAAAAATAAAAATAAAATAACAGCAAAGCGTTCGGATAAAGCATAATGACGAAGATTATGTGCATGACGCAACCCCGCCAATTTAACCCGAAGAAAGGGTAATTTGCATATAATATTCATCAGAGTAATAAGAAGGACGAATCTAATGGGAAAACGAACACGACGTCTCATCTTCTCATCAGCTAATCCTTCCATCCGCTCGTGCATCCACCCCCGCCTCTTCCTCTCTCACTGTCTCTGTTTCTTTTTCACTCCTCTCGTCTGCTTCATCCATCTGTACGCTCTGTCTGCTCTTTCTTAGAGTCGACGGAGAGGAGAGTGGAGTCAGGTGGTATTATAAGAACGAAGTCTAGTTCTCCTTCTCTTCTCTCTGCTCTCTGTTCTGACTGTCTATGTCTCTCCTTAAGTTCGCTTCTACTTCCGTCTGTCGCTCTGTCTCTTTCTTGTACCTTTCGTCTCTCTCTCTTTCTGTCCTTGTCCCTCTGCTCTCTTTGCTTTGCGTTTGAGGCAGGGTTGAAACCATGGCTAAATTATTGTTATGGAGGAGGCTGCAAACGCTGAGAAAGATAGCGATAGGCAGTGGACTATAATACCTTTTCTCTCTCTCTCTCTCTGCCTGTATCTGGTGGCTGTCTACTGTCTTTATATCTGTCTGCTGCGACGCGTGCCCCTCCATTCTTCTCTGCTCTCTCACGATAGAATGTATCCTTGATGCTCTTTTTGCTTAGAGTCTGGCCGTTCAGATTCAGGCCGGTGAGGACTGGATGTGAACGTCTGAGAGATTAGCAGGACGACGTCTTACTGTGCTTTGAATTAATCATTACCTGGCATACGTAGAGGATATTGACCACGTGCGTCGTCTTTACGCATGGTTGCAAGAGCATGCTATTGGCGATATCATATGTATCATGGTGCAGAGTGATAGGTGACAGCGTAATAGCATTTGGCATTATCCTTACATATGTACATACATGTATGGTATTCAGTATGGCTACTGCGTGGCATACTTACATATACACAATGTTCGCTACTGTCGTCCACAAACGTATTGATTAGATGTGTGTCGTTCAGCATTGACAGAGAAGTCGACGAGTACATTAGTACTAGTATCAGTTGTATAAGTATAAATAATAGTATAATATAGGTAGTATACCTAAGTATTAAGTAGATTGTATAGTATTTAAGTCGTGTATATAAATGTTATAAGACTTAAGTAAGATTATATATAGTACTACTATATATATATATACTATATAGTATAGAATAATATATATAGCTGTAGGTATGTAGTAGTATGTATGTGTGTGTAATATCTACATCAATTTAAATATATGACACTATGTAATAGTATAATATATATATAGCTTATAGTATAGTATAGAAGTATAATATATGCTTATATATAATAGTTGTATGTATGTATGTATACTCATGGTTTATATTGTAGTATATTATGGTATGTTTATATGTGTCGTGATATTACATACAAATATATACATACATAGTAGTTATATATAGTAGCAACATATATGTATGTATACTATATATGTTATGTTATATATGGTGGGTGTATATACATACAAATTGGATATACATACATAGTGTATAGATGGAGAGCTGCACACGGTTTATGTGGATGCGTACACATATATGTTATAGTATATATGTATATATATATATGTATAGTATAAGTGAATAGCTGTTGTGTATATATGTATATATTACGTACTATCAGCATTTAATAGATACACATATATATAGTATAGATTTATTACACATATATATTGTATATATGGTATATACGCATGTGTATGGATAATGGTATGTTAACATATACGAAAAAAATTATTTATATATAGCATATATAATATAGCATATATATGATATATACATACATAACATACATACATATATATATATAGTATATATATATATTATATATATATATATTATATTATATAATATATATATAAGTATATATATAGGTTGTTTGATGTGGTGCATGTGTATGTTCGTGGCTGTGTGTGTGTGCTCAAACTGCAAAATAGGACAACACACATGCAAGCAATCATACACTTTCGGCCTCCGTTTCCCATAAATATTGCAGAGAAGAAATTCCAATAAAATAGAAAACGGAGTTAGCGAAGGGAGAACTCCACTAGAGCGACATAAGCTCTCCTTTGGGAATCAGTCACGCGAAATTGGACGCCCTCCTCGCCCCTCCCTCGCCCCTCCCTCCCTCTCCCCTCCACCCTCCTTCACCCCCCTATTCCCTATCCCCATTCCCCCCCCCAGTCCTTCCGTCTCTCTATCTCTCTCCGTTCCAACTCCGTGACAGCATGACTCGGTATTTGAGAGAAAGTTGTTCATCTCTTTCACAACATGACAACCTTAACAACACGTAGAATTTCGTGATATCTAAATTGCAGCGCTGTATCAAATGTCGTTTGTTCTCCAAACACTACGTGCCGTTATTATATATATAAAAAAAATCTTCCGAGAAATTTACTCTCTAGCGAACTAAATTGTTGCCAGTTTGTTGTTCGTTACTTGTTGTCACTGCAATTTTTGGTTTGTTTTTTGTTCTCTGACGCGCCTCTTCAGTCAAATGACATTGTTCAGTTATTCATAAATCCACAAAGACTATCACTGGCATGCATATTCTATTCTGTAGATATACTTTTGCAATGTGGATTCCAATAAAGTGTTAAGTGTAGTGCGGCTCAATAACTGTGTTCTGTTACGTTTATTGTTTGTGTGCAACAAGTGTAACGCATTGTTTTATTCTGTTATCAACTAAGAGAATCAGTAGTTTACCAAGCACGCGTACTTTCCTTTGCCAGTCCAGACTTATCGCTTCAGCATCAGCTAAACGCGACGTTTTCGGTAAACATTTATCATCACAATCGCTTTCATCATTTTCACCCTCACAGCCACTATCATCCTCGCCCTCACTATCATTCTCCTCATCATTAATATCCCCGCCATCACTATCACCCTCACCATCCCCTTCACTCCCATTCTCACCACCGCCTTCACCACAACACTGCATTACCTGTAAAACGAGAATCGACTCTCGCACCGACGCGGCGGACAACTGAACTAGAATGGGCGAGACGGAACTTTTCGCTACACTATATATCCTCTGCTGATGAATGCGGCCATGATTTTGCCTTTTTTTGCGTTTGTTTGTCTTTTTTGTTCCATGGTCTACGTGTTCATTCCCGGGTGCGTCGCCCTTGTCAGCAAAGTGCGAGTTTTTGCTGCGTTGGATGAGCAGAAACCCGTATAAAAACTTTCCCTCGGGTGATAAATCCATTTTACGAGATCTTTTTAAGAGAAGAAAAAATAAAGGACCAAGGAAGACATGCACTCAAGGTGACAGACGTGCATAGATTTGCATAGCCAGAGGGAAGAAAAACGAAGTCGAAAAAGACAATCACAATATTTTAATCAAGATCC